GTTTACACAACATCGCCGGCTATAAAAGTTTCCTCCCACGCAGACATGAAACGGTTAGAAATTGAGAGGATGGCGTTTCAGCCTGATGGCATTTGGGACCCGCACGGAACCAAAGCCAGACGGGTTGCCTCTCAAGCAGGTGCATGCCTCCTTCGTCCCTTCCCTTCCCTCTTCCTCTTGTCTTCCTTTTCCCCATTCTCTTCTTTCTCCTGTCGGTCAACGCGGAAGCAATGCACTTGTTCAGCTTCCGGCTTCTCCCCCTTGCTGTTATGGTGAAGAAATCAAGGCTCTTGTTCGAAGAATGTCAATCAAGCTTGCCTCCTCCAGGTGAAACTCATTTTTCCTCTCCGTGGAAAAAGGAGAGAGAGAGAGAGAGAGAGAGAGAGAGAGCGAGAGAGAGAGAGAGAGAGAGAGAGACGAGAGAGAAGAGGGTTGTATATAAAATGGAGATGGATAGAGGGGGAAGAGTTCCAATTAAAATCCCTCTAATGCCTTCATCAGCCGGGACTGAGTCCATGAAAAATGAGCTTCATCTCTCTGTCGAGAGATATACGAGCCCCGTATGTATCACGTCTCTATCGATATCTCCTATCCCATCTACACGTAGAACTCTCTATGAATGCATTGCACAGTGTCTCAAAAGTCTGGAACCGATGGGAAACCCACATTTTCAAAAATGTTGAAGATGTCCATTGTTTGGTGCCAAACGCCTATTTCTGCACGATGGCTTAAAGGACGCCGTCCAGAAGTCAGCACGCCACACCATTCGGCTCCTCCAAGCTCATACGAAGGGGTGGGTGGATGCTTCGGTTGAGGTTGTTTGAAATCCACGCTGCACGGGATACGCGGTGAGGAGGTTGGGGTATGGGAAGAGGGCGTCGCTGTTACAAGCTTCTCTCTCAATCCACTCTATCTCAAAGCATTGTGTACCAGGAGTACACATTATGAGCATCAACGGTCCACAAGCTTGTGTCAAATTTGATTATCGAAAAACTGCTGGGAAGTATTGCGTACAAGAGGCACACATTAGTGTGCTAGTGCTGCACTTTTCACCCACAAAATGTCATCCACAGAGCTTTAATGTTTCATTTTAATATTTCTGTCTCCGTTCATGCGCATGATGAGCTTATCTTGCATCCTGACGACTTAGGCTCAAGTCCGTAGAATCGTCGTTTATTATTTATTATTTTGTGTCGCATTCAATTCCTGCAGTGTTCCCATCGATATCCATATCGAGGGGCGAGAATCCTTCAGGATATGTTCATAGTATTGGGAGTGAGAAGAGGCTGGTGACGGCCTCAGGGTTCGCAATAGAAAGCTTAACGCTAAGCCCTCTGCTAAGCCTTTCTATGACACACTCAGGCACAGGTAAGAAGATGTTGGGGCCTAATAATGTTAGGTCCAGCACTTTCGATAATTCAAGCGGTATATCAGAATAGGATAGAGTTAGTCCTAAGGCCGACGTTGGTTCCAAGGTTTTCGGAAATCGACTTATGTTTTTCGGAGAATCTACGCTTACATCCACAAGGTACGGCTGCCCCATGAGCAATGATTTTCTTCCTGCATAGAGTGCATTTGAATTTAAGAACCATCTCAAGATAGGCCTGCTTGTCGCCGGCAGGGGTTTCGCTAGAGGAAAAGGCAGCCAGGCGCGGCAAGCACACGGAGAAAACCGACAGCGCCATCACAGATGAGCCGACAAATTAGGTTTACCTCCCAGATACAATTTGTGGGGTTCTAGATACAATTTATCTACCAGGGCTGAAGATACCGTGAAGTGTTTCGGATGCGCATTCGTTTTCGCACATTTGCTCGTACCATGTTTTTATGAGAGCATACGGTCTGCACCGCACTTTCCATCTTCGTCTGATCCCACGCCAGGCTTACCGATGTCGGTCCCCTTGAAAATTTACGACAGGTATCCTTCATCTGCGCATGACTTCGGAGACACTGGAATTTTTTATACGACTAGGTTATCGACCGGCCTCTTCGGGTGCCGGCATCGCTCGCATAAATTCCCGAGTTGAAAAACGGGTCTTCACCATGTAATCCATACCGAATTAGAATGTCACGGAAGAAAATCTTCAAGTTCTACCTGGATCTAGCATTTCTCATTAACTTGCTCCGATTCGGCGATACGGATGAGGCTTGGCAGAAAATGTATCCACGACCTTTCTCCGACTTCAAGGACTCATAAATTATCGATTGACAGGAAGTGAAACCCCGAACGCGGCATTTTGACACGCGAGGCAAAACCATCGCGTTGCAGCCCTCAATTTCATGTCTGAGTACGCGGCAAAGAGGTCGTTGCTACGTCGTCCGGGTTTCATTCCGCGATTCGAAAGTGAGAATGATGGCTCAGTGGAGCGGAACGAAAATGACACCTCTCAAATGTACTTCCATTCTCTTTCGCTCTCTCTTATCCCTCCTCATTCGGTAAGAGACAGAAAGGGAAAGAAGAAAGAAAGAGAAAGAAAAGACCGATGGACCGGTGGATACCCCATAGACTCTCCTGTCAACCATAAATATGCCCCTATGACAGATTTACGGTTGGAAGCTGTAATTAACAGTAATGGATGAAAAAGGGCCTTGAACCTCGTTGAAGACTGAATTAGGGGTCATATTGAGAGGTGAGAAATCTATCGGATACGATGACCCTCTCACTTCATTTTCCAAGCTCTTTCCTTTTTTTGGTCGAATTTCGTTACGCATAAAAAATGACTGGAACCAAGCACAATGGGCGTATTTCCGAATTTAATTTTCATAAAGCCAGGTAAATGAAGAATTCTTCATGCCAGACAAGCATATGGGATATGGGCTTTGCGGGCAGACAGTGGTGTGTCACGGTGATCAACTCCGTGATAATACCCGGGTAATAGACTGTAATATGTGATGGAAAGAAAAAATAACGGGTAAGTATACGTATAAAGGGATAGGAGAGAAATATGAGGATCGATTGACGGCCATTGGCCATGGAGGCTTGAGTTTATTATCCCGACACCATCTGTTCCTACAGGGTGATTGTGCTATTACTGTATGCAGGGGAAATCAGCTAGGTTTATCTTAACCATTCCATTCACAAATTATCTTCTTATCCCTCTGCTAAACAATGCCACTATTAGTTACCATATTAGTCGCTACGGTACCACTGATGACTACTTCCGGGTTATTCCCATGTTTCAGCTGAAGATTCTCATGAATGAATCTATACACACGGGGGCTTGTAATTGATAAACATTCTAAATTGATTAATATCCAAGCTTATTGCCATTGGCAAGTCCCTATCGGGCGCACAGCGACTGAAAAGGTTAAATTCCTCGATGGTTGCCCAGATACCACTAGCTATGACTGCAAGAACGAAATCGGGAAAAAGAAATGAGAACTAGGTACCTGAGGGAATCCTTATTCTCTTTGGGACTGAAACTGTCAAGTGTTGTCCACAAGAGTGTTGCCGACAGACTGAAACCTTCACCCTTCTTTCAACTTGAGTTTTCTCGTCAAATTACCCAAAATCGTGGTCTGAGGTATCAACCGTCAAGGACGGTTCGATCACGATTCACCTGTCCTTGAGACTATGATGGCCGATCTGCAATCAACCCTTTTTCCATGCCTCCTCTGGAGACGATGCAGATGACCGGAAGACGTGTCGAAGGGGTGAGGGGAGAACAACTCCCCGGGAGGGGGAACAATAATGATTAGAGGAAAAGGAAAATCCGATCTCGTCCCAGACACGTTCACTACATCTCTCCCCTTTTCCTTTTCCCTTTCCAACCCTGCAGAGCAGCTCGTTCAGGGCTCATTACACACATTGAAGAAGGGTGCAATCAGGGCTGACCTGACATCCCTGGCCAAAAGACCATCGATGGAAAAACGACGCCTTTGTCTCTCCCACCCTCCCTTCCTCGAATATATGGAACGATAACTCGCAAGCGTATCCGTGATGGCTCTTCAATAAGGAAAAGGAATAATTTAAGATTAAAGCTGAGTTCCAGGACCGGAATGCACAGTCTCCGGTTCCTGTTCCCGATAATGAAAGCCTCCAGATGGAACCTCCTCTCTTAATTAAGCATGGAAGATGCACACACTCCAGATCTACAAGGCTGCATTAACAACTTTCCCTCCGGCCCTTTTCATCATCTACAGACATTCACCCATCCATGCATTCAGTTATGGCCGAAGTCCACCTGAGACGCATCCTTCCCGATGTCAGAATGCATGCAATCCGTCAGGAAATGAAAAAGATATCGAGACTGTTCCAGATCTGCAACATCCTGCAGTTAGAATCTTGCAAGTCGCAGTTTCACCTCCATCTGTCGCAGTCAATTTGTTGGGGGGGGGGGGGTTTTCTGGAGGACAAAAAGTTGAACCCTAGCCAGAAGCAAAGGAACAAACGAGAAAGGAAAAGAAAAAATATTCAGCGACGCCACGACGGGTAATCTGGACAAACCAAGGGAAAAAAAAAACCTCCGATTTCGGCTCGTCTATACAAATGAGCGCATTGCATCACATGTCATTACGTGCATCATCGAATGAGGGATAATGAGCCGACTTCTCATCATCATTATAATCATCTTAGGCCACCAGATGTCATCGAGTAACACGGCAAATTACTTTGCTTGTCTTTCTAATCACAGGCTAACGTAAACTCCAAATACCCTCATCAAGTTCCCAGGCGTGTGTTTCCCACAATGTGACTCCAACAACAAATTGTCGCAGTTCGTTAAGGGTCTCGGGAAACAAAGCAAGTCTGCGAGATCAACCCACGTAAAGGGGGGGGGGGGAGAAAAAAAAAGTGTACGCTCCTACAGTAAGAGCTGCACGATTGCAAACACGCGGCCTTCATCCAAGAAGCAGGACATCGTCTGCCGTACTCTCATCAAAGGTTCCCTCTCATCCCATTAAAAGAAGGAATCAACGAAATAGCAACTTAACGATTACGATGTTCTGCAAGAAATGAGTCGTGTCTCGCGGGGGGAGGGAAAGCAATGCAGATAACTTACATTCAGAGGGATCTGAGGACGAGCTTGACTCTTCTCCCAGCCCCGAAATGAACCAGAACCGCAACGACGAAATCAATCAGTCTCTTTTTAAGAGACACTATACGACGTTATGAGAGAGGTTAAGATGAACATGTCGAAGGGAGAACGACAGACGAGGAACTGGCCCTGGAACCTCTCTACACAGGCCATGGAAAGGAGAGGAGATGGAGGTCATGCGCGGTATGGCATGATGTCGCCTCTCTCGCCCCTGCCCTCATCTCGCATAGACCCTTCACGCATTCCCGACACCCTCACCTCCAGAGGTTCTCCTTTCAAAGAGAGACTTAAAGCTGGAAGTAATGTGTCTTTTGCGGGGGGAAAAGCGTGCGACACGAGCTTGGCTCTCTTCTCCTCTGCATACCGGGAAGGCAATGAGAGATCGAGGGAGAGAAGAGACTTTCAGGTAGATAGAGGGAGGCAATTCTACATCCATTTCCTGTCTTCACATCCTTTCTTCTTCCTTTTCCTCTCCCTTAATGAGCTAGCAGACAAAACTCAATCCTGTAGGCGCTATCCTGAATCCCGTGCGTAACTTGATTTCGTTGATTTTCTATTTCCACATTATGCTGCATCTACTCAATCTCGCTAATGAGGTTTCTTTATTTTTAGATATTTAAAAAATATATAATGCAGCACTTAGTGAATGATAGTCTGGGGCGAATGAGTAAAGGTGAACCCCAAATGCTATTACTCTGTGTCATGTTATCAGCTTCTGAATTGGAATGAAACATTCATTGGAAGCTATTGCGTCCCTACTTAATTTTCCCGAAATCTCCAGAATATCTTGGCGCATTTTCATAAAAGGCCTTACGGTTGCATGTAAGCAAAGAACACAAGGCTTATTCCATTTGAAATTTAATCTTCCTCAAATATCGAAATATAACAAGGACTACCACGATTAGCACAGATGCCACACCCAGCACAGCCACAATAATGAAAACAATAACGAACCGCTTCTGGTGTGCATATTCAAGGAGAAAGTATTCAGTCACGCTTCCTTTCTAAAGGAAACGTTATCTTTAAGCCCATCATTTGATGCTTTGATGCATATCTCTTGCCCTAAGACAGACGGCTGTACGGAAAATATTGCCGATTTGGTTGTACTGGCAGTTGATCGTGAAGCTGCAGTCAAAAGCACGCTCATCGGACTACACTTCAGGTTTGTATTTTTACTTTATGATAAGTGACACGCGTTCGACTTTCGCTTATAGTGAAAAAATAAAATCTGACGAAATAGGGACGCAAATTCGACTTGCAACAGCTATTTACTCTAACTAGAAGCAGCAAGTGATGTTGAGAGAATATCAATCGAGTCTTGGTTAGTCAAGATATGTTCAATCTAAATGTGACGACTGTGCATGAAAATAGAAGAGCAGGAAGAGACGGAAAGTCCAATTGTCCCTCTCCCTCATTTCGTCCCATCTTGCCTGCCTGTACCCCACACGTCGAATCTGACAGTCGTTGAGGTTTGTCGTCAAGGCTTCTAATGGGCATACTCCGTTCGCTGCAGGTTTCTTGGAGACCACCAATGAGAATGGTACCTTCCTCGAGCGACGAATGACGCCCCCCAGCGAAACTGCCGGTAACTGTACCATAGAGTGGTTCGGGAATGAGGGAAAAGAACCTCAGCAGGAGGTAAGGGATACGAGAAGCATGGAGAATGAAGAGAGATATCCTTCCTCTTCCTGTCATCCCGCATAAAACAGCGTGTCTAACGAGCATCTAATAAATTCTGCGGTGTTCTTGTTAATAGCACGACTGTACGGCATATAAAAGGCGCTGAGCCGATTCCTTTCACTTTCCACTCTCAGTGAGAGGAATAAATTTGCATATAGCATCGAGAAAGAGTGGAAGTAAATCGGTCGATGGAGCGGAAGAGCGTGTGGATGGGGAAGCATTCAGGATCTTTTAATCTTCTTGGATTTTGGCTTCCAGCCACTCCCTTTATCCATGTCTTCGCCCATCAGATCACCCACAATTCCTCCTCTGAAGAAAAAAAATTTTTTTTCCCCCTTTCAATGAGCTGAAAAAGGACTTGACCACTGACCGCAAAAAAAAACTTTCTTTCACCTCCACCTCTTGATGAGGCAAATCCATTCCAGATGATGAGAATTTTTAACAGCCTCATTCCATTCTTGACTTATGCGATTGCAACACGAATCTCTCTCCTTATTTCGGATGCTGCATCCGTAAGAAACTTACGCAAGTACTCTGTCGCAGCCTTTACGAAGGTGTGAGATGAAACACGACTTAAATGTGTTTTCTATGGTGGAGAATCGAGGAAAAAGAGGCGGAACGAGAGAAACATTTCTCATGTTACCGTCAGCATCTACGACGAAAATGGTGTTACCCTGATAGGAGGTCCCATTTGGGAATTCTCAGACTCTCTTACATGGACGAGCTTGGAGTCTGTCTGTCTTTCTCTCCTTCTCTCCTCCTCTCTCGGTTCAGCTGGACAATCGATATGGGAAGAGGTAGAGAGGAATCTGATGATGCGGATGGAGTCGGCCATTATGGAGTGAAGTGCATGCAAGTCTCTTCATGGTTCCCGGAGCATTATGCGCCAAATCGATTTCAATCACATCGCTGGCCCCGATGAAAAAGAGCCAGTCTCTTTAGTCTTTCCCCTTCAATCTCCTTGCCATTGACCCTGGAGACTATACCGGTCATCCCCCCATATTCACAAGAATCCAATAGCCAAGGCGCTCCCAATTTTTTCCTGCACGCGATATCTGCTGGAATGTTGTGCAATCGCAGGGCGATCATCATGGCGGACTTTAGTTTTTGTCCACGGAAATGGAACGCTCCGGCATAGCGAACTCGATGTGATGAAAACGAACATGAAAGAAATACAAAATTGATTGACGTACATGCTACAAAAAAAATGTGAATTTCATTTAAAAAGTACAGGGTCCAAGGAATACAGGGAAGAAGAGATAGAAGGAAGCTGGATACGAGAAAAGGGAGAATGCAGGGAAATGGGGCCATTTCGTAGCTCAGGGAAGGGGAGATTATGTGAAGTCGAAGAAAGGAAAAGAACAGAGACAAATGCTCCATTTGAATATGAATGCAGGAAACGAAGGTTGTGGCTTGCATGCTGGAAAGATTTCGACAAAGCAGGGAATTTTACAGGAATAATCTCGCCATTAGCATGAACAATGCATGACTTCCTCCACAAATTTCTTCCTTCGCGCATGAGTAAATAAATAAAGGACATTGGGAGTCTTTTCCCCGAAGGCAAGAGAATCCTGGTCGAAGCCGACGTATCGTCATCAGGTGGTGATGACGGTGACTGGCCTCGCGGAAGCACCAGAGCTTCAATAGATGTGCCTCACATCATGCCACATGTGCGACGCATCGCGTATTCATTGCCAACTACCTTTGGTAGGCTCTATAAGGAAATTTTTTTTCCGCCTTCCTTCTTTCTTTCCTTCTATCAATCTTCTTTATTATATATATATATATATATTTCTTTGAATTCTCTTTTCCGAAGTTACACTTCATGTCCTTACGATTCGCTCGCGTAACAAGATACACTACAATTGACTTGAGACGGTTGCGGAGAATGCAATGCCGGTCACGTTGCACGGCATGGAACAAGAACATCATTCGATGAAGGGAAAGGAACAACGTGTCAAAGGCACATGGATGCATAATACATTGGTCTTATGTGAGAAACGCCATGAATGCCCTTCATGAAAGATTCATCCCGATAGATCCCGAATGGGAGACACTTTGTTGGATGATTTCCTCTTTCTTCCTTTCTTCCCTTTCTCGTCTATTAACTAGAGAAGATGCATTGAGGGAAATAGAAGTAATCATTCACGCCTTCTCGCACCTGGCACCCTTATCTATCGATATTCCCTTTTCCTTCTTCTGTGTTTCCCGCCCATAGACTGACCATGTGCTCATTAGACAGCCGCACTCCTCTTTGCTTCCTCCTACGTCATTCGCCGAGACAAGAACGTTATACTAACTCCATTAAACATTCTACCTCTAGAAGGCCTTTGTTCATCTTGTTCAATGTCCAAAACTAAAAAAAATAGTCGATGTATCTAGTTTTGATTCTTATACGGTACCGGAAAAGAGGTGATACTTTAGGAACCTTTGCCATCATATTCCAATTCCTAAGGAATCTATAATTAACATTCTGAATTATTTATCACTCAGCAGCTCCCGTCATGAAAACTCTGCTCTCCATGCACAAGGCAAAATCCTGAAAGATTAAAGGTAGCATAAGGCGTTCCTGAGACCGTAGCGTCTTTCCTCCATGTAATGTAACATGCAGCACCTTCTTTCCTGCGTTGACTTGTCATGTCAAGAAACACATTCCATTAGGAAATGGTCTTCAATGATTCAGTCGTGCATCCTTTAAAGACTATTGGCTGGTATTTCCATGAGAAGCCCCTTGAATTAGTATTCTCTTTGTCAAAAATCCCATAAATCCTCCATTTTTGCGCCGACATAAAAAAATTACATTTGAAGAATACGTATTGCTCATACGTACGGACGCAATACTTCTCTCAGACTTGATGACCTTAGAAAAGATTTCAAGAAGATTCTTGCATTCCCAATAGAGCCTAAAATTGAGGTCGCTCATAACGTCCAGGTGGTCTACGACACAATTCAAATTCGCAATTTTGATTATGTGGATTCCTATGGGGAAAGGAAGCAGGCTTCTCTTTGTGACTCCGCACTTCTCTCGCCCATCTCATTAAACGGAAGTTCGCAATAACCTTTTCTTTTCCCTAAAAGTAAGCTGATGTGAGATTACTTGGATGCAAGAGAGATTGAAGGTTAAGGAATGCTTTGTTCGAAGAAGGGTGGCATAAGATAGGCACGATTGAATTGCACCTGCAAATTCGTTCGAGCTTGTAATTGAAAGATGTTCATACAGAAGCTATCATGAGATGTCGGGATCATCAGCTGACAAATGAAGGAATATTGGAGGAGTGTGAAAGTGAAAGAACATTGCATCCATGGGTGGTCTCTTTTTTCCCCCTCACTTCAACTAAATTCC